CCCCCCCACACACACACACACCCCACCCCGTCTCTCATCTCTCCTGTCTGTCCCGAAAAAAGTGTGTCTAGATGTGTTCACTTGCTTTGTACGTTTTCTGATACATTTGTGTTTTGTGCACCTGTCTTCACCCATGACCTAGTCGTTGTTGTTGTTGTTGTTGTTGTTGTTGTTGTTGTTGTTGTTGTTGTTGTTGTTGTTTTTGTTGTTGATGTTGTTGCTTTATTTGCTGTGGTGGTTGTTTTTGTCACTGTTGTTGTTGTGGTGGTGGTGGTGTTGTTGCTGTGGTTGTTGTCGTTGTTGTTGCTGTTGTTGTCGTTATTGTTGCTGTTGTTGTCGTTATTGTTGCTGTGATTGTTGTTGGTGCTTTTGTTGCTGCTGTTGTCGTCGTTGTTGTCTTGTACTATGTGCTGCTGTTTGGGATTGTTGTTTGTGTTGTTATTGCAGTTGCTAGGGTTGGTTTTTTTAAACATACGAACTATGTTTTTTTTTTTCTTTAGACTCCTTTGTCTCTATTTGGGACCCTTTCCCCCTCCTTTTTTTCACCCTTTTCTGGTCCTATATCTGATACAACCCATCATGCTGTGCTATGTGGGCGCTTTTGTCCTCTCCCCTCTTTGTTTCTATATTTCATTTCCATCAGAACTCGCAATTTATGAAGTCTTTTTGTCAAAAAGAAAAATAATTAATGCTCGCCTGTTCTTCACATCTTTCTTTTGGATGTACGGCTCTCCTTGTTGTTTGCTTCTGTCCCTTTTCTGTTCCTTTCTACCCCCCCCCCCTATATTTGCATTCCTTACCATTTATTCTCATCTCCTTTTTGCATGCCAAGTAAACTGTTATGTTTTAATTATTCTGTATGGATGGCGTATTGGCTTTACACTTTTTGTTGTTTCTCAATGCCTTGCTTTTCTCCTGGATGTTTTCTATCTATTTGACCATTTCGGAATTTCTTCTCTTGCAGAAGGACGGGGTAAGCCATCATGTTTTACGATAGGCACCACACAAATTGACCAAGACACTCGTGCATTCCGTCTCCGTGTATAGTTGGGTTAGTTCTCGTGCTTGGCGGCCAGGTTCCCGGTTATTAACATCTAGGAATCGTAGGAATCGACTCCGAATCCAATTACTTACTTTCTAATGATGTGATTTCTTACGGTGATTACCTGGTTGGCTCCGAACATCTTCAGGATTTAGGATGATAACCTTGATTTCGGAACACTGCGAAGCATCAACTTTTACTTTTCAAAAATACATTCCTTAAAAGAAAAAGAAGAAGATTTTAATGAGTTAGCATCACTTCAACAAATGGGAGCACCCGCTTCAGCAAACGGATCAGTAAAAAAGAGTTAAGAGTCTGAATTCGGATAATGTTTTATTGAGGATTATCTGATTATCCGGATATTTATCCGGATTTTGCCCACCTCTCCCTAGCAGGCAGTCACTGACAGTTCGCGCCACTTGTAGTAGTCTCCCTAGTCACGGTCGTTTCATTGTAGATATCTAAACTGTACGGATTAATTGTTTCATGACGCGGTGGAATCACACGCTCGTCAATTTTTTGGGCATGCAGAATTATTGGTATCATCTTAACGGTTATTCGTGTGCCTTGCTTTCGATGGGAAAAAAAATTCCCTTCAACTTGAATAGAAGTTGAGATATTTGCAATTAAAGGAGGT